TCGGCGGAGGACATGCCCCGGGTGGCGGGGAGGGATTTGCGGAGCTGGGAAACGAGTTGAGTACGCGTGCAGTGGAGGAGGGAAGACGAAACGATTGGCAAGAGTGGCGAATTCGCTGCCCTTCCGCATTGCGCCTCCACGTGTAGTCGTCCCCACAATGGAGGGGCACCAGAGCGCATAGAACTTTAGCCCACAGCACACATCCGCACACGCGGACTGCCATCGACGCTAAGAAAAAAAGACAGGAGCAGAAGCAGAGAGCGGTGCGCCGCGCCGCCCTCTTCTCGCTGGAGCGAGCTCGACAACCGTCCAAAAGCTGCGCCTCCCCCGTACACGTCATCACGAGCTTCGTTTGTCTCGACCCCACACCCCGCCCACCAAAGAGACGAGACGCGCCTATTCCCATCCCAGAGCCGGCCGCGAAACCCGCACAGATGCCAGATCTCAACCGCCACCCATCTTCGCTCGGACAAACAAAACGCGACACACACCTTCAAATTCGTCTCCCCATCCAGATTCTTCGTCTCGAGGTAGCAGTTCCCGTCCGGGTCGGACGTCGCGAGGACGATGAGGTCCGCAGGGACCTGTGGCGTGCGCACGTCAGCGAGCCATTCGTCAGCGGGCGACACACAGTCGGCGTCGTGCGCGTCAGCAGCAAAAGACACGACAAACACCCACCTGCTCATTATCCCTCAACAGCACGATATCCCCCACCTCGAGCTTCTTCCACAGCGTCCGCTCCCACTGCGCCGCGCCCGGGTGGAAGTTGGGGTCCAGCACCGCCGGCGGCGGGTACGAATGCCCGCTCGTCATACTCCCCCATCCACCCCGTCCGTATCGTCCACATTCAGCGTGCTCTGGCTGGGCCCGCCGAGCCCCGCGGCCTCGCGCGCGCGCAGCTTGCGCACGCCCTTGGAGACGGCGCCGGGGCGGTTGAGGCCGAGGAGCTTTTCGAGGAGGGGGCGTGGGTCTGAAAAAGAGTAAGTAATTAGTAAAGGGAGATTGTATCCGGATTTGGGAGACGACAAGGACTGCCCACGACATCGCGAAGGAAGCACGGTGGGTGAGACGCGACGACTCGGGGTATGGGCCGCAACACTAGGTATATAGGCCCAAATGGAAATGGTGTGGGCATACGAGACATGCAGGAGCTGGGGTGGCCCACGACACCGACGCAGTAAACGGTCAAGCCGCAGCCGACGTACAGGCAGCACGCTCGTCGTGCCCGCCCGAGGCAAGCTCGGAAGCGCCATAGTTCCTCTTGGACTCAACCGCCCGCCAGCACTCCAAGTCCGCCAAAACACCCAGAAAGAAAGCACGCACCACGCGGGATATTGGGGTTGCGGATCGAGAGGCGCGTCGTGGGGGAGGTGTTTACCTGTGCGCAAAACCGTAGCGTTAGCAGGAGGTTATACGAATAAACAAGGAAGGAAGAACAAATGAAGGAAGAACTAATGAAGGAAGGAAAAGGCAAAGGCAAACACGCAAACGCAACGCACCTCCTCATCCAACTGCCCCCTCCGATAATCCTCGATGCCGTCCTTGATGGCGGTGACGGCGAGGATGAACGCGAGCGGGAGGACGGCGACCGCGCCCGAGGACGCGCCGAACACGGGGAATACTAAGAGGGGGCGTCAGCGAGTGTTAAGTGGCGAAGTGGGGAAAGTAGAAAATAAAAAATGAAAATACAGGGGCACCGCCGGACGGACTTCAAGCACGGTCCACCGGGAAAAGAACGAGCAGGCGTGAGGTGAGATAATGTAGGGTCCGGGTCCGGGTCCGACACAGACACAGCACCCTGCCCACCCGCCCGTCGAAAACGATCTAGGGACTCGCATGCCCGCTCGTCGTCTAGCCGCATCCCATCCCGCCCCACTCCCACGCAGAATAGAATAGGTCTGCGAGCCCAAACGCGGCCGGCGCACCGAGTACGTCAAGATTGACGGCGTCCCATCCATCTCGCCGACTCCGCCGACTCCAAGAATAGATGGATGGATGGGTTCGCCAAAGTCGAGCCATAGGGCATACATACACCACACCGCACCAACCACACCACTGCCGCACCCCGCAACACCAAGGCGACGCTAGTGCACGCACGTCTCGAGACGTCCCAGACACCCGACCCGAGAAGCAGCAGAAGGTCGCTCTTCGATTGGATCCAAGTGCCCACATCGGGACCAGAAGGCGTCGTCGAGAGGCAGGCTGCCAGCACGCACGCGGACTCGACTCGAGAATCCCTCGGGCCTGTATGTGGCAAGAACTTGGCCCCCATCCATCCAAGTCCGGGGACATTCGTTCGTCGCTCGGTGTCGGTATCGCATCGCACTTGAGTGTAAGAATAGCCTTGGGTGCGTGGCGAATACCACGCACAACGAGGCGGCGCTGCGCATGCCCCTGTCCCCCCTGCCTAAGTGCGAGCCCAGCCGTGCACGGCTCGGGTACAGTACACTTGAGAAATGCCATAGCTCCGTGGGCCCAAGTCCGCAAAAGACCGAGATGGTTGCGACGGGCGTCGAGACGAGACGGACAGACATAGATGCGAGTCCGGTTGAGGCCGCGCGGGCACGCTCGACGTCGTAGACACCAATGCGGGCGTCGCATCCCGCACCAAGTCCGAAAATAGATAGCAATAGCAATAGAAACGGACTCACGCTCGAGGACGACGACGGTGAGGAAGAAGAGATTCGCAATCCGGCGGAACTGCTCGTACAGATTCCGCGGCACGAACGTCAGTATCGTGTACTCTGTCGTCCCCGTATTAGCTCCCAATAAATAACAACGACCGAGCGAAATCAAGCGCACTCGTCGTCTGGACCTTGTTCCTCGGATACCGCACGACCGGGTCCCCGCTGCTATCCATCTCCCCCCTCGGCAGGGGCGTATTCACATACACATTCCGCCTCTTCCCCTCTGGCCGGCCCCGCCCCTCCTGCTTCTCCCGTATCGGGTCCACGCCGTCGTGCTGGCCATGCCTCCCGTCCCGCAGGCGGCTCTTCTCGCCGCGGGACCTCCAGAAGGTGCGGCGCCTGCGCGTCTGGCGCGCGTCGGCGACGATACTCTCGGCGATGGCGGAGTGCGCCGTGCGGACCGTGCGCAACCTGAGCTCGGGGTCGATGTGGTCGTCATCGAGAGAGGAGAGCGACGGGGCATGTCGCCCGCGCTTGAGTATGGACATGGCGGTGAATTATTCGAGAATATTGAACAAGGGAATGGATGGAAACCGAGAAATGGAATTGGAAGGTGTTTGGCTTGGGTCTTTGATGCGAGCTAAATTATTCTTACTGTCGTCTCGGCATTCAAATGCGCAGTCGAATCCCCGCTTACTATTCACTCTTTCTCTCCTTATTTCTCCATTGCGCCCAACGACGCTTGCGCCCAATCACTGGCACCAATCAGCCACCTCACAGGCTCATATACATAGCTTACCATCACGGCAAATTCAAACTACCTCCGGCCCGCTGACCCTTACCCTCCTCGTCAGCCCGGGCCAAGATCGCAAAAGTAATTTTCGGCTTGCGTTCCGCGTCTTTTCGGCCGCTCGCAAACGCGTCTTCCAGCCCTAGCTCGCATGTACGCTGCAGCCGCAGCCATCTTCGCAGCGTTTCCCCATGAACACAGCCGCGTACCTTGGCCCCAAAACAGTGCGGCGCCCAGCCCGTGCAACCCTGGGCCTCGCATGCCCGTTTCGCCCCGCTTGAGTTCCCGCCTCCGAATCGTCCGTCCGTCTTGCACTTCACACCACACACCTCAGCAAGCAATTTGCGGCCACCAATGACGGCCATTAGTCCCTCAGCGTCAAGATATCAACCCGCATCCTGTAGCTCGTTCCCACATGCGCTGGCACCACCACCGGCGCATCCGAGTTTGTCTTGTAGATTGTATTCACTGGCACAACCCCCAAGTCATCTTGGCACTTGGCTCTGACTCTTGGCGCATATCACCCGACGGGCGCACCACGCCCGTCAAATATCCAGTCAATCCACCGTCTAGATAGGCTGTATCAACATCCATCCAACGTCCACAACAGCCGTTCTAATTAAAGTCGACGCCGTACCGCACTACCTCCAACCTACTACCTACTACCTCCAACCTCCAACCAATTCCGACCGCCTTCCTAGATCCTCCTCGGCGGCGGCGGCGACTAGTAATATTACTTCATGCTTACACTACATACTCATTCGATTCCATTCAATTCTATTCTCAGCACAACCCAACACAACCCGGATCTCTATCCACAATCTCTATCTGATCTACGCATTTATTCATGTTCATTCAATCGGATGGCATCATCGATGCCTCTGCGCCACGATATCACGAATCACGATGCGCGCGTCGCATCACTGGCTAGGCTGCACCACACTTAGCATATATATATAATACGCAGCGGAATTTCGTCCTTGCGAGCTTCTTCCTTCCTTCCCGTTCCTTAGCCTATTCCTACCAACACTGCTCCCCATGGCCTACATGCGCCGACCCAACCCGACTCCATCCGTACCTCACAATCCACCTCGCACTACCCCTCTGTTCTTGGCGATGGATGAATATACGTCTTCCGCACATACTTACTACAGCCATTTTAAAAAAATCCGTCCTCCCACCCGCTCAATCACATAGCTAGCTAGTACTTAGCCTGCAATTCCTTCCCAAATTCCTCAACTCCCAGCTTGAAGCTAAAAAAAAGTGGAATCAACGTTGTACACACGCCTTCAGGAGGATTCGAACCCCGCCTCCTCTATACTGAAGCAATATGACAACGTACAAACATAGAGGTGATCTCCACGATCCATAAAGACTTTCTGGAGTTGACCTCCTAGCTAGCTATGTATGGCGCAAGGTAAGTATGCGCATGCAGAAATTCATTCGAATTCCGATAAAATAAAGCCTGCGCTCCGGGTCTATGTAGATCCACGTACACGCTCAGTTGCCAATAAGTCATAACTTATGAGCATACATTCCCGAAGAGAGGGCAAAAAAGAAAGCGTATCCACAAATAGCCTACACGCCTCCAAGAGGAATCGAACCTCCGCCTCCTCGATAATTGTTGCAACTGGGATTTTTATACGAAGTCGAGGTGATCTCCATGATCCATGAAGGCTTGAAGTGCATGGATTTGAATCGAAATAAATGTACCTTTGAATTCCCATCCCCATCCTCAGACGGCATCACCTACATAGGTCATCTTCATTTTCTTCTCGATCAGCCCATGTATACTTTGTCCGTCCGACTCCATAAAAAATCCAACCTGCCAACTGCTCAAACGCTTTGCATATGCGTGAAACGCAACCCGCGCTTTGTGAAAAACGGAAAAAAAAAGGTTCAGCATTAAATGACGCCTTCAGGAGGATTCGAACCTCCGTCTCCTCAACCAAGTTGGAAAATGTACCACTGCACTGAGGCGACCCCCAGGATCTAAGAAGGTTTTCCAACGTGGAACCACCAAATAATATGTGCATGGATTCAAATCCAAATAAATAAATGTACATATGTAACACTGCCCCCCATTGCGTACATGCACCTCAATGCGCAACCCGACTCCGTTCGCACCTCAGAATCCCCTCTGCTCTTCCACTCTAGTAGCTGGTATAAATTATTTATTTATGAATACAGCGCTCGGCGATGGTCTTCCGCACATAGACTCAATTTTTTTTAAATCTGTCCCCCCACCCGCTTATTCACATAGCTAGCTGGTAGTCTGCAATTCCTTCCCCAAATTTCTCGAACTCCCAACTTGAAGCTAAAAAAAGGCGGAAGCTTTATGTGCTACGGCTTCAGGAGGATTCGAACCCCCGCCTCCTCTATACTGTGGCAATACGACAACACACAAACATAGAGGTGATCTCCATGATCCATAAAAGCTTTCTGGAGTTGAACTCCTGGCTAGCTATGTATGGAGCAAGTGCAGGAAGTTAATTCAAATTCGGATACTATAGAATAAATGTACCTTGGGTTAAATTCCACCCTGCGCTCCGGGTCCATGTAGATCCACGTACACGCTCAGCTGCCAAAAGTTACGAGCATGCATTCCCGAAAGAGAGGGTAAAAAAAAAAATCATGCCTCCAGGAGGAATCAAACCTCCACCTCCTCGATAACTGCTGGGACTCGCATATGATAAAGTCGAGGCGATCTCCATGATCCATGAAGGCTTTCCAAGGTGAACCACCAAGTACTTAAATACTATGTATGTGCATGGATTTGAACCCAATAAACATACCTTTGAATTCCCGTTGACATCCTCAGACAGCATCACCTAGGTCATCTGCAATGTTCATTTTCTTCTTGATCAGCCCATGTATACTTGTCCGTCCGACTGAACAAAAAATCCGACCCGCCACCTGCTCAAACAACGCTTCGCATATGCGTGAAATGAAACCCGCGCTTTGTGTAAACGGGGAAAAAAAATCGATTCAGTGCGAAATAACGCCTTCAGGAGGATTCAAACCTCCGTCTCCTCAATAACGCGACATACGAGCCACTGCACTGAGGCGATCCCCAGGATCTATGAAGGCTCTCCAAGCACACTACAAAGGGAAATGTTTGTGGTAGGATAAAAACTGACTCTGATTCCACTAATATTAATTTGAGTTTTCTTCCTACCTTACACTATGAGAATTAATATAATGTCAACCAAAAATGAATCAAATGGTTTCGAAAGTGCTTTCAATGTCACAAAGAAAGGTAGTTTCTGTAGATCATGAAAGGCTTGTAGAAAATTGAAGTTTCATTGCAGTTTTCAAGGCCACTGAAAGGATTAGTTTCACAAATAAAGAAAGGCATCTTGAAAGAACCACTTTCGAAGTGCCTTTCAAACACGCTGAAAGAGCGAGTTTCAAGCATCATGAAACCTTGCGCTATTTTTGCCATTGGTCCGGCATTTTCCGGACCAATGGCAAAAATAGCTCAAAGTTTCCGTGGCGCGGAAACTTGCTGTTTCGGGGCATTGGAAAGTGGCCCGAAAAGTGAATCTTTCAATGCTGCTTCCTTTGTCAATCAAACTCGTTCTTTTCCTGGTCTCGAAAGGGGCTGTGACAGTGACAGTTTGTGGGGCCCTTTCATTAAGCAAAGAAACTAGTTTTCTTTGTGACATTGAAAGAGCTTTCGAGACCATATGATTCATTTTCAGTTTATATTACATTAATGCTCATAGTTTAAGGTAAGAAAAGAACTTGAATAGATAATAATGGAATCACAAGTGGTTTTCATCCCACCAGAAATATTTCCATTTGCAGTGTGAAGATGGAACCACCAAATAATATGTGCATAGATTCAAATCCAAATAAATAAATGTACATATGTAACACTGCTCCCCATTGCGTACATGCACCTCAATGCACAACCCGACTCCGTTTGTACCTCAGAATCCCCTCTGCTCTTCCACTGGTATAAATAAATAAATTATTTATAAATACAGCGCTCAGCGATGGATGAATATGCGTCTTCCGCACATACAGCCATTTAAAAAAAATCTGTCCTCCCACCCACTTAATCACATAGCTAGCTGGTAGTCTGCAATTCCTTCCCCAAATTTCTCGAACTCCCAACTTGAAGCTAAAAAAAGGCAGAAGCATTATGTGCTACGCCTCCAGGAGGATTTGAACCCCCGCCTCCTCGATAATTGTGATCCTTAAGCTGGGCTGCGGAACAACACCGAGGTGATCGCCATGATCCATGAAGGCTTTTCTATCTCAAATCACTGGGTAGCTAGTACTTAGTGTGGGAGCCATAGTGTTGCCGTGAGCTAAGGTGAAGGTAGCTCGAGCTCGGCTAAATGGCACCTTGGATCAGCTCGAGCTGTCATGAGTTTAGCTCGAGCTACCTCAAGCTGGCTTCCCAAAATGGAAGTCAGGGATTCCACAGAGGTGCAACATCCTCAACGGCAAGGGAATTGGGTTGTGTGGCCCCAAGGTTGAGCTGAAATGGGTTTTAATGCATTGAACTATCTGTTGCAATTTTTTTCCGGTCCAGAAACACGAAACTGTGCCCACAGGAGCGCATCTGAGGTCCTACAGTGGGAAAGGACGGGCACGTCACGGAATTTGGGCGACACCAGATGTGTGCTGTAAACGGAAACTGAATTTGATGGACCTCAAAGTAGCTCGAGGTGATCCGAGCCAATGTCACCTCGAGCTGCCCAATATCACTCCCGAAATTCTTGTGTATCCGGGTCTCTAGAAATGGACCTGACATGGGTAGTATCGGAAGTCAAGTCAGTGTCCTCAGGATTTCCCCTGACATGCAAAAAATAATGTGGTCTGGAATGGTAACTGATACAGACCACATCAGATGTAGTTCCTGCTCCTCTGACACCCAGCATGTCAGACCTCATTTATTTAGAGCTAATATTGTGCCTGACACTCGAGGTGTCAGGGACCATTTATCTGTTACTTACCCAATTGGCATCAGGGACAAAGCGCCGACACAGTAAGAGTCCAGCAGCCAGAAACGGCCATCATCCGGATCAGGCAGCCTGATGCTCATTGTGCCAGGGAGCGTCTATCAATCACTCGGGATTATGTCCGCCTGATACTACGCCTGACACCTTCGATTTCAGGAGTATTATTGAGGACAAATAACCGGCATCTGACACAGCAAGTGTCGGAGGCCAAGAAACTTGATCCGATACACATTGTGTCAGTCACGAAACCAGATTCCCTGATCCCGGCCATGTCAGGTCCAGTTTCAGTCTGTATCATATTCTTTCTGATACTCCTGGTGTCAGGCATGTTTCCGGGAGGCCTGACATATCTCATTTTGCGGAGTGTATGGTAATGGCTCGAGCTAAGCTGAAACTTGGCTTGAGCTACCTTCACCTTGCAGCAACACTAGGGAGCCAGGCTTAGCGCTGCATGGCCGTTCTTGATTTCCCCGGGTGGCCCGGCCGCAAACACATGAATGACAATCCCCGCGCCAAACATGGTACAAAACTCTACTCACGTCATCCCATATTCTTCCCACTCTACTGCTCCTGTCAGTCCTCGAAGGTTGATCCTGTTGTAGAGGTGATTTGCAATCCTAGCGTCTGCCTCACACAAGTTATTGGGTTTCTCCTGATCTGTGAGAAATCCTACTGCTGTGTGCAGCTAAAGTCTAAAGTGTGGGACCGCACAGATAACCTTGATGGGGGGAGGAGCATCTCTTTTTGGGAGATCTCCATTACAACCCATTTAACTCTATTATAATCACACTGTATTTTACCAAATTTCAGTTCAACCGAGAATTTGTTTTGAAACTCAAAGTTTTCAAGTTAGACTTCAGGTCCCCACAAATTCTGTCCTATTCGCAAATTTTTGATCGCCCTGAAGTGAGAACTTGAATCAGTTGAATAAAATCTGCTTTCAGTCTCATTGGAATTTAACTCAAGTGCAAAGTGATAGTTTGCAAATCAGCTTGCCCAAAACCCAGGGCCAAAACCTTTGGTTTCAGTATCAGAAAAGGTGCATGTGACATCCAGAACCAGAGACTTGAAATTAGGGAGGTTGTGCAAAAGCCACACAAACTGTATGTAGCTTTTGTGCATTGTGCACTGTGTGGCTTTCATTTCCCTATCCATTATTGATCCAAACCTTGCATATAGTGCTTTCAATGCTTTTTGGTGTTGATTCCACCTTTGGGTCAAAGGAGGAAGTGTGGCAAATGCCTTTTCTGGTGTGGCAGGGCTGGATGGTGGGGAAACCCTTCACACTGCTGGCTAGAAGGCGACTCCATCAGCTGCATTATTTTCAACATTTTTATCAATTGCAGCCTCTTATAGTTCAAACACCAGGGCCGCACCAATACCTTTCATTTGTTCCATTATTTCAACCTCTAACCCTCAGCGATTAGTAATATTACTTACACGCCAACCCCTTGATACTTATACTACATACTTATTGATTCCATTCAATTCTAGTCTCAGCACAACCCAACACAACCCGGATCTCTATCCACAATCTCTATCTGATCTACGCATTTATTCAAGTTCATTCAATCGGATGGCATCATCAATCCCTCTGCGTGGCATCACGAATCACGATGCGAGCGTCGCATCACTGGTTATACTGCACCACACTGATCATATATTACCCAGCGGAATTTCGTCCTTGCGAGGTTGTTCCTTCCCGTTCCTTAGCCTATTCCTACGAACACTGCTCCCCATTGCCGACATGCACCTCAATGCGCCGACCCAACCCGACTCCGTTCGTACCTCAGAACCCACCCCTCTGCTCTTCCGCTCTAGTAGCTGATATAAATATTTTATTTACTTATGAATACAGCGCTCGGCGATGAATGAATATACATCTTCCGCACATATTTACAGTCATTTAAAAAAATCTGACCTCCCACCCACTTAATCACATAGCTAGCTGGTAGCCTGCAATTCGTTCCCCAATTTAAATTACTCAAACTCCCTACTTTTACTTGAAGCTAAAAAAAAGTTAAATCATTGCCACATACACCTTCAGGAGGATTTAAACCCCCACCTCCTCGATAATCCCTGCAATTCTGCTGAACAACACCGAGGTGATCTCCACGATCCATAAAGGCTTTCCAACCCTGAACTCCTGGCTAGCTATGTATGGAGCAAGCTGCAAGGTAAGCTTAAGTATGTGCATGCATGTAGGAATTAATTCGAATTCAGATAAAATAAACTTTATACAAACTCCACTCTGCGCTCCGGGTCTATGTAAATCCACGTATACGCTCAGTTGCCAAAAAGTTATGAGCATGCATTCCTCAAATTCCGAAAGAGAGGATAAAAAAACAAAATTTCCCACAAATATCCCATGCCTCCAGGAGGAATCGAACCTCCACCTCCTTAATAACTCCTGAGAGTATTGTGTAATGAAGTTGAGGTGATCTCCATGATTTATGAAGGCTTTCTCAGTGAAGCTACCAAGTACTATGTATGTGCATGGATTTGAATCCAAATACTTAAACATACCTTTGAATTCCCATCCTCAGACGGCATCACCTAGGTCATCCCCATTTTCTTCTTGACATCAGCCCATGTATACTTGTCCGTCCAACTGAACAAAAAATCCGACCTGCCAACTGCTCAAACGCTTTGCCTATGCGTAAAATGAAATTCGCGCTTTGTGAAAAACGGAAAAAAAGTGCTTCAGTATGATGAAATGACGCCTTCAGGAGGATTCAAACCTCCATCTCCTCAATGACTTCATAAACGTGCCACTGCACTGAGGCAATCCCCAGGATCTATGAAGGCTTTCTAAGATGGAACCATCAAATAACATGTGCATGGATTCAAATCTGAATAAATAAATGTACATATGTAACACTGCTCCCCATTGTGTACATGCACCTCAATGCGCAACCCGACTCCGTTCGTACCTCAGAATCCCCTCTGCTCTTCCACTCTAGTAGCTGGTATAAATAATTCATTTATGAATACAGCGCTCGGCAATGGATGAATATACGTCTTCCACACATATGTACAGCCATTTTTTTTTAAATCTGTCCTCCCAGGTGCTTAATCACATAGCTAAGCTAGCTGGTAGCCTGCAATTCATTCCCCAAATTTCTCGAACTCCCAACTTGAAGCTAAAAAAAGGCGGAATCATTACTACATACGCCTTCGGGAGGATTTGAACCCCCACCTCCTCAATAAACACCGCAATTCTGCTGAACAACACTGAGGTGATTGCCATGATCCATAAAGGCTTTTCTAGCTCAAATCACTGGCTAGCTAGTAGTGTGCAAGTCAGGCTTAGCACTGCATGGCTTTTCTTGATTTCCTGGGTGGCTGGCCCGGGACCACAAACATGTGAATGACAACCCCCCGCCCCAAACACAGTACAAAACTCTACTCATGTCATCCCATTTTCTTCTCACCCTACTGCTCCTGCCAATCCTCGAAGGTTTATCCTGTTGTAGAGGTGATTCGCAAATCTTAGTGTCTGCCTCACACGATTTATTGGGTTTCTCCCGATCTGTGAGAAATCCTACTGCTGTGTGCAGGACAAGTCTAAATTGTGGGACCGCACAGATAACCTTGATAGGGGGAGGAGCATCTCTTTTTGGGAGATCTCTGTTAGAACTCATTTAACTCTATTATAATCACACTGCAATTTACCAAATTTCAGTTCAATTGAGAATTTATTCCAAAACTCAAAGTTTCATGTTTAACTTCAGGTCCACACAAATTCTGTCCTATTCACAAATTTTTGATTGCTCTGAAGTGAGAATAAAATCTGCTTTCAGTCTCATTGGAATTTAGCTAAAGTGCAAATCATTGGTTTACAAATCAGCTTGCCCAAAACCCAGAGCCGAAACTTTTGGTTTCAGGATGTTATATCCGTGTCGAGGGGAGAGAAAGGAAGGAGAGGGGATAGGTTCCGGATGGGTTATGACCAGGGTCGCGAATGCCGGAGGTCAACGGAAGTAAACGGGAGAGGATTCTGGAACACGGATATGGACCACTACACCACAGCTAGGTTTAAGGGTGAGTGTACTATCTGGTTGGCTAGGAATGAAGGAGGGAAAGGGAGACAGCCGAGGGTTACCGGAAGTGAAGGCCGGTAAGCCGGAGAGTAATGCCGAAGGCCGGACAAAGTCCGGTAAGCCGGAGGTGATGTGCCGAAGGCCAGGCGATGTCCGGTAATCCGGAAGTTATGCCGAATCCGAGATGGAGTCCGACAAGTAGGTAAGTTCACGGATGTATAAGACCGGACATCCGGGA